CCCCTCTCCATCTCCCTCTCCCTCTTCCACCCTCTTTCCTCCCTCTCCCCCTCCCTCTCTCTCTTTCTTTCATATAATGCCTTTTAACATTTTGTTTTTAAAACTGTTAGGATTTTTCTCTCTGCTGAAGTTTAACCTGCCCGTGCAAGGTCCACGCGCCACCGCGTTTGCCAATGCAGTTTTCCCCGCTGCAGTGCCGGTTAACACTCTCGGTTGGCGCAGCAGAACGAGGCGCCGTGAAGGCACTGCGTCGGACGGTAGCGTCCGCGGGAAATTGAGAACTGGCTCTCCTTCGGAGTGCAATGTTTGATTCGTTTATTATTCACTCTATCCAAACATGCCATCTACTCTGACACCTCCCTTCATTAGTCCCGTAAATGTAGTGTTAATTATAAGATAATGTGTACCTCACTGCAACTGAGTAAAACTCGCTGGTAGTAATTTACAAAATAATTGAATACCAGTATAATATTAATGTCAATAATAATGTATATATTTGGAATTTGGGGTCGGGTTAATCAGAGTTTTGACAAATTGCGGTGTTCCCAAGCCTGGATCATCCCGGAGAAATTTTAATTTTGATGGGCAGTGGTTGGGCAGTGGTTATTACTTTTTTTCTTCTTTTTAGTTGTCTGCGTAATTATAATTTCCTTGGTTCAAATGTTCGATATTTTAAATTAGTTGATTAATTTTCGTCATTGTTTCCATGCATTATTGATTAGGCTGAATTGAAGGTGGGGGTTATTAGGGAGGTGTTTTTAAAAAATTTATTTGATTGTTTTCTTTTTATTTAATATCCAATCTTTTTATTTAATTCCTGGGATTAAGGAAGGCATGTGGCAAGTATGACATTTCGTTCACCGTAGCTAGTATCCTTGGCCTTGCTAAGCTTCCTTTCGTCACACAGCTGTATAAACTGAGAGAATTTTAATGAAACCTCTTTTTTGTCCCAACCGGAAATCGAACCCAGGATCGCGCCAACGATATCTGCCACGCTCTCTATTAGCCGTCCGATGGGCTTAATAATAATGATAATCTTAATATTAAACTCGACAGCACAACATCACACGGTGCTACATATCACTGCATGCAGTTGCACTTCACTATCCTACGTTTCCACGATGGTTTTGAAAGTTCTTGCCGCCAAACTGTTCGAATCTCATAGTTTTATTGACGAATGCGAAATTTTTTTGCCAATATATTATCTCTGATTTTCCTCTAGTGTATTCTGAATTTCCTGCCACGCTGATTGGCCTACGTACGACCTTTTATTTCCCGCGAGGTGTCATTGTTCCTTCCCAGCTGTACGTGAGGATTTCCCATCAGGTATCTCTCCCAGCGGAGCATCTTCCCTCCTGGAGTTACCATCAGGCCTTGACATGTGACAAGGCCTTACAACTCTACATCAAAACCCAGGACAAAGCTGGAGGAGGTTACGATAGGACACGCTAGTGTCGCCGGGTGCAGCTGCAGGTTAGGCTCGCAAACTTTCGCACCTACAAATTGGCTAATTTGTGCGAAATACGACACGTGTCTTCTAACTTTTCAATTATTCATAATATATACATATACAATATCTCTGAAGAAAGCACGAACATTGGCGCTGACTTTTGAAACATTATGGGCCTGCTTGCGTCTGATGAACCCATGCAGCAGCCACGCACGTTTTAAACATCATTAGCAGCAGTTCGAATCGTAGCTCCTGTAAAAAGATGGTTTCCACCAGGTTTTATCGGAGTTGAAAGGCCCTGACATGTGTTACTACTTGTACACAGTGCCTGCACGTGTGTGTAAGGGGAGGAGAAAAAACAAATATGAGGGAGCACACGTCGTGCATGGTCCGTGGCCCATTGCTTAGGGCCCTACTCCGGCATTCGTACTATATTAATTGGAGACATCACAGAAAAACTACCGTTCAGATTGGCCAGGCGCCAGCATTCCCCTCGAGACCGCGACATGTGTCAATGCAGTTTTCTCCGCGGCGACGCCGTGTCAGCGGGTTAGCACACACTGTTTGTGCGGCAGTGGCGCGGCGCGGAGCGGAGCGGAGACAGCGCTGGACGCGCGCGTCCGAGAGAAATTGGGGGACTGGGTCTTGTTTGGAGGACAGCGCGCCGGCCGGCTGCCGCCGCTGGTTTTTGCCCGCACCCGGGATGCGGTACTCACGGCTCGCGGTAAGCGTCTCCCTTCGCGACGTGACAGGTGCTATGCGTTCCACTCATCGCGATCTGCCGTGAGCAATTGCAGGGCATTGTAAACGAAGCTATGCCTTTGATGGGTTGTTACTTATTCTAGGCGCCTCTATTACAGAGAGAGAGAGAGGGGGGGAGAGAGAGAGGGGGGGAGAGAGAAAGAAAGAAATAGAGAGAGAAAGAAAGAAAGAAAGAAAGAAAGAAAGAGAGAGAGAGAAAGAAAGAAAGAGAGAGAGAGAAAGAAAGAAAGAGAGAGAGAAAGAAAGAAAGAGAGAGAGAAAGAAAGAGAGAGACAAAGAAAGAAAGAGAGAGAGAAAGAAAGAAAGAGAAAGAAAGAAATCATTAGTCCCGTAAGCGTAGTGGATATTTTATCCGGGAAGTGGCGGTGATTTTTCGCTGCTGGATGGCGAGATCCGGCGCCGACATACCGTCGGCTAGCGAGGTTTCTCCAAAACTGGTATCTCCTACCAGCGGGGCACCGCCCCAGCCGGGACAAGCTCTAAGTTCTCGACCGGTCTTCCGGCGTGTGTGTCAGTATTGTACATGTTAGTATAAGTGTTTCTGATGGGTGAGGATAGGACAAGAAGGAGGCAGAAAAGATTGCTCGCGGTCCGTTGCCTATTTGTTATGGTACTGCTCCGGCATTCACCCTGTGTTCATCGGAGAAACCAAGAAAAACTTCCGACCAGAGCAGCTGACCGCCAGAATTCTCCTCTAGACAGTGAATGATTCGACCTAGCTGATAAGCTAGTGTCCAAAATCATGCCACCATAACGTACCTAGAACCTCCCGGACAGAGACACTGCATGAGTTAATACACTGAGCCATCTCTCCCGGTCTATGACTTCGACGAGAACCACTGATTTGCGGAGAGTAGCGAAGATTATAGACATTACGCTAAAAACGAAAGTTTGTAATTTATGGGCGTATTATTTAAAGAGTATTTAAAAAAAACAACCTCAGTCCAAAAAGTGAAATTTTGATATATTAGAACTCTTGCTACAGCTTTATAACCGCTATTTGCTGATTGTGTTGTGAACAAAATCAGCGTCTGTCTGCTGTTATTAACCCCGAAAGTTTGAGTGAAATTGATAAAAGAACCATAGTCCATAGTGCCTTTATGTAAAAGAACCATAGACCTCAATTATTTGAGAAAAAACACGGTAGTTCAAACGCATCCCGTTATTTCGCTCTGCTAAAAAATTGTGTTTTTGGACTATGACGTTTCTTATTAAAAAACAAACAATTTCACTTCTCTACACAGGTCATTAATTTTTTTTTCAAGTACAGAGCGTCAATGCTCTCAGAAATCAAATATTAATGACATAGTTTAGAATGTACTCAAATGAAAATTATCAAATCTCCAGAACAGGATGATAGAAATAAGACTGGAAAAAAGCACCCTTATCAAAAAAACCATAAAAATATTAAATGAACGTAAAAATAAAAATCCAAATACTTTTCTGAGAAAAAAGAAAAATACACCTGACGAAGAGCCCAAAAGAACTTAAACAAAAAAATCCTGACTCATACGCCCTCCGAGTGCTCTGTACAGCCAGCGAAAGCCCTTTCTCCGCGCGCCGTTACGAAACCATTGGATAAATACTTTCCCAGGCGCGACCGCGCGCCGCCCTGTAAAAAAGATCTCCGTCTCCGTTCCACGAGTGGGCATCGCATCTCCCGAGCAGCCTCGAAAATGGCTTCCCCCCTCCTCGGGTGCTCTCCTGCTGCGGAAGGGGCCGGCGCAGCGCCCCCACGTGGGCGCTTTCACTTTCTTCGCGGGGCTCCCGCCGCCGCCGCCGCCGCCGCCGCCTCCCGCGCGCGCGCGCTCCGCGAGGTGTAAGCGGCGTCGCGGCGCCTCGACGGTTTAGTCCAGCGCGCACCGGGCACCACGCGCGCCACCCCATGA